TCCAAATAACTGAATTGTTTAAAATTTAAAGGAAAACAGAACTGTGATTTTAACTCTACCTATATACTTGTTATGGAAATTTTACAGTAATCATGGAATGTTTTTAACCTACATGACTTCGTGTTGATTTATGCTGTAATTCATTGTCAGCATCAGCTGTCATCTTAAACATACTGATTTCTAAACAAATCTTCAGAATGTGAAATTATCACTTGGAAGGAAAGAAGTTTTTATTTATTTATTTATTATATGTTCAGGTGATATCTTTCTGGCAGAAATAAAATGTTTGTGAACTAGTCTATCATCATGGCAATTCTTGATACACGGTACCCTCAAAATAGTTCTCTTCTACTGCTACACATTTCTGCACGTGACCATACCACTGCTGAAAACACTCCTTCAGGCCTTTTCCTGACACCTTTTTAAATTCCACTGTCATGGCATTTTCCATCTCTTTTGCTGATTGGAACCTACATCTCTTCAGCCTGCTTTCATTCTTGGCAACATGTTAGTAATTGGCACGAGGTAGATCTGAAAAATACAAAGGTTGTGGAAGCATACTAATGCCATGCAGATACTGCTGTACCAGAAAAGACAAATTAGCCAGTACACTGTCATGGTGAAGAAGACGATTCCAAAAGATAAAAGAGTTTTTGCAGTGCATAGTTCCTTGCAGATGGCACATCCCAGCTATTATAGAACGTGTCCAGAATCATTTTCTCCTATAAGTGGCCTGTACAAATGTACACTGCCTGGGTTACTGTAACAATGGGCTTCCACAACCTCCATATTCTCCAGATCTAGTTCCTGCCAGTTACTAACCATTATAAAGAACGAAAGCCCTCTTCAGGGAATGAAGATCTGTTGGCAGAACAGGTGAAAGAGGCCAAAACAAGAACTCTTGAGGGGATCACAGGAAAAGGCCTGTGGGAATGCTTTTAGGGTGGTATGACCGATGCAAGAAATTTGTAACAACTAAAGGGAATTAGTGTTTCAATGACAGTGTACTGCAAAACTTGTCATGGTGATAGGTACCTTCAAACAGCAAGAAGTATACAAATTATTTGACATTACTACATGTTTCCATTTCTCTCTGCAACCACAGGATTTCTGATACACACTTGTGATTCCAAATTGCCTTGAGTTTTGAAATGTTGACAGTAGTGCCTAATGCTGTATAAAAACATAAATGTTTAATTAAAAAGACTTTTTACATGAGTAACTTACATTTCATGTGAGAGACTGTACTGTCATGGAATATTCTTCTCAGTCAAGTCAATAATGTCACAACATTCCAAAATTAATTTGAAGCAAATCTAAGAACTTAATGATCACACATGTTTCAATACATAAGTATAATAATTAAATACCTTCAGTGTATATATATATATGGCTGATAAAAATTATTCAGTTGTTCCTAAAGAAAAGTTAAGGACACATTTAATATTATTCATTGCAGTGTATTATTAAATTGTTATGATTTGTCTGAGTGTGCTGTCAAAGTCTTTCAGCTCTGTAAAACTAGAAGTGACAAAAGTTCATTGCTAGAAGCCACAAGAAATGCAAGATAATTTTAAGAAGACTTGAAGGCCATCCAGTTTGCCTACTGTTACATCACACATTTCTCATCATCTCTCTTCGCATCACGAGGGGTTACCAAGAATATGCTCATCCACAGGTCATTTAATTCTTCTGCAACTTGAGTGCCAATTAGTGAGTTCTTGTGAAGACTTGGCTTAAAATAATGTCCTTTCTGCAGCAATTTTATTATAAGCACTTTCAAAGATCTGTGTTTAATGAAACATGGGTAAGATCTTATTTCATTACAGTATTTTCTCAAATGAGAACTTATGAAAGATCATTTTTTCTGCTAATGTAAATACATTTTACAATATTTACAACAAAATGTGTATTTTTCCTTCATATCACACTGTTTCCTTAATCCAACTTTCCTTCTTGTGATCATATCCTTTACAACACAGAAAGATCACAGGAACCCTTCTGAAATGCAGTCTCAGGAGTTCATACTGAACAGTTGCTCTACAATGAGGTCCTTTCAAAATGGTTATGGCACATCTCAATTCAATTCAATTTATAATGTTGTATTTTAGCATCCTGTTGCACTGATTCGCATCCAAAACATGTAGTGAAGTGACAATTGAGATTGTGTGCACTAGAAGACAGTCAATACATACACATCATGGACGCAATTCAATTTATTTCAAATTCAAAAATAGATCCAGATACAGGTTGGGAAACAATGTACTAAAGCAGAAACAGGAGTAGGAGCAGCCATAGCGGCCAGTAATCAAGAAGAAAAAGAAATCTGAGCACTACTAGTTATAGCAGCCAAAACAACTAATAAAGAGATGAAAACCATCTCAAAAAAATTCTTAAAAAAATCCAAATAATAAATATAATTCCAACTACCAAAATTAATTATTCAAGCAATAACCATCAATAAAGCAACATTGCCCATAGAATTAGAAAGAACCATTAACATACCAACATTATAAGACCTTACATTCTGATAATAAATTACTAAACAGTAGGAAACCAGCCCAAGTCCATCCCAGCCCAATAAAATTCTAATCATATTAAGTCTAACAATTAAAAACATCATAGAAAGAACAAATATCAAAACCAACAAAATAAAACGATTAATATTTAAATCCCCATGTATATAATCATCTCTATACAAAATAACTAAAGAAGAAATAAAAAAAAACATAAAAACTAAGGACATTCAATCAAACAAGAAAGTCATAACAATTCTACTAGAATTTAACATAATTTTCATTCAACAAAATAAACTAAGTCAATCAATACGAAGTAAAAACCACCAAAAAATAAAAAAACGCCAGCTTTACACAAGAGTCCTACCATAGCAGTAAGCATTACATTAAAAATATTGGCTTACAGTAACCAGGGATTTAAATCATAAAACTAAATTAATATATTGTCAAAGTCTTAAAATGAATGATATCATAGTGTTGACCAGAATAAGTTCAAATATTGGATGACTTCCACAAATACTCCCAGTTACGGTTTCAAAAATGCTTGTAAAGAACTGTGTGCCTGGCATTCCCCTTTGGTTTTAAGGGTCACTCAAGCAGAAACCTCTCAGTATAATGTCCATAACCTACGATCCAGTACCATGCATTTTCATCCCACAAACTTTCCACTGACTCCACATATGTCTTACTACTTTGTATGGCTTAAATAACTATTGCTCTAATAAATTTTCAGAATTAAAATAATTCCAGGAGAAAAACAGTAATGAGTCAATGTGATAATTAACACTACACTAATAAATATGAACTATTTTGACATTGCTATAACTAAAGGACAGGGGCAGCGGTGGCATAGTTGGTTGAGGCACTATGCTATAAGCAGGAAGGTCAAGGGCTCAAGTCCTGATGAGGTCATTTGATTTTTTTTTTCAATTGACCTAATCCTTCCAACCACACTATGGCCCTGGGGTCGACTCAGCCTCTAGCAGAAATAAGTACCAGGAATATTCTTGGGGGTAAAGGGTGACCGGCGCATTGTGCTGACAACCTTGCCGCCATCTATGAGCCGACTGTCTAGAAAATGTGGGAACGTCAACATCTCACAACCCTATGGGTCACCACGGCATGTTATAGGGATAGCTGTACTTTTTATAACTAAAGGACAACACAAAACTCCAATCTCATCACATGGGTAAAAAAATCTGTTCAGCTGAACTACTGAAGTAAATACATCAAGAGCTTAAAATCTGAACAATCCTTCATTCTGTAACTTAGTTCAATCAGTTCAACATGAATTCAAGATACTGTAATTATACTGAACAGAAAACATTTGCATATTTTGTGTGTCTATCTGGACCTGTTTGGAGACCTAAATACTATCTTCTTGAATTAAATACTATGTACTCTAGCAGATGTTTTCAGTGTTTCAGAGTAACGTACTGCTGCCACATTCAGAGTTTCAAGAGTGAGGCAAGTAAGTACCTACCAAGAAGCAGGTGAAAAGATAAGTATATGTTCATGCATCATCACTAGAATGGACACAATCATAATACAGCTAATATATCAAATATGTCCTTCAAGAATGCAACAAAGTTCAAATATTTATAAGTGACAATAACAAATCAAAATTATACTAGTAAAGAAATTATAAGCAGATAACATTTGGATTCAGAATCTTTCATCTTCCTGTCTCCTGTCTAAACCTGACAATTAGAACATACTACATCTCAACTGCCAGGCTGCGGCCTGGTACCAGGCCATGGCATCAATTATACTGGGCCCTTATCTTAGAGAAAAAAGAATTTACTGGGCCGCAGTCTGACAAATGTTGAGAACCACTGTACTACATTATCTGACATTTTTATATGAGTGTGAAACTTGGTCTCTCACTGTTTAGAAAGAGAATAAAATGAAGGCATGTCATCTTTGGAATCTGAGGAGAATATCTGTACCTAAGATGTAGTAAGAAAATTTCAGAAAATTACATAACAGGGAGCTTCATAATTTGTACTCTTCACTGAATATTATTATTGGTGAAATAAAGGAGGTTAAGACAGGTTGCAAGCATGGGAAAGATAAGAAATGAACAGCCTACAAAATTACAGTTTGAAGAGACAATATGAGAGAACTAGATTAGATGGGCAGATAATATTAAGATACATATGAAGTAAATATGGTATGAGGTCTGAATTCAATTGGCCCAGGATAGCTCCCAGTGGCAGGTTCCTGTGAACATGGTAACAAACCTTCAGGATTACATACAAGCAGGGATTTTTTATTTGCTGAACAACTGTCAGCTGCTCAAGACAGACTTTGTGCCATACAGTTAACAGATTATGTAATACATCTAAAGACTGATCAATACTCAATTTAAAAACTCAAAAGTAACAATGATTTTCTCAAATCAGAACTTTCTCTTCCTCCCTGACAAACTGTTCAAATTAAAGAAAAAACCAATATTTGGATGAACGTACAAACAACTGAATAGGTATAGAGGTACATATAAATATTTATTTATCAATATTTTACATTTTTATTCATACAAACTCTACTGACATGGTTAAAAACTAGATGGACTCTTAACATAATAAGCAGGAGCAATTACTCTGACCTCCTATTCTCATAATGATATTAGAAGCCCGTGATTTTAAGATGAGAACACCAAAAATCATTGCAATAAAGAAGTAAGATAATGTGACATACAACAAACAAAACACTGGACTAACATGTCCAAATACATGAATTTATTTACAAAATTCTTACATCCCAGCCACCCCTTCTCATGAGAGGAATACAACTGATGTTCAATATCCTTTTCTTCCCCGGAATCTTGTTCTGTTGTCTAACTGAAATGCAAAAGAAAAAATATATGCATTGTAAAATGTGGCTTCCAATGAAATACGACACTTCCATACCACTAATAATATCATAACACCATAACACTACTGACTGTCCATATTATTATTACATGAAAATAAATGTGTCCTGTGAGCAGTGGGAAGTCGAGTGTAGAAGTGAAGATCATATTTTACTTCGGAAGAAAATAAAGAAAATTGTATGATTTTAATACTACCACTTATAACATTATTCTTAACTTCAAACTTAATTGCATCTGTAATTGTTCTGGAATGTAACTGTATGAATGTAATTAATCATTAATAATTTTCCACTCTCTTCTCGTCACATTATCTCCTTCACATAAAATGTACTATATAAATATCGACATTCAATTTTAAAATTTCAAAATTAAAATAATTTTCTACAATACACATTTAAAGTGAGTTGTTTTTTACTGTTAAAATATTGGATCTCTCATGCAATACATTACAGAGACAATATCAAGGGCCAGTAGTGAACAGTGAAGATTCAGAAACTTGGTAATATTTTCTAGATTATGTTTGTGAAAGAAGCATTCTCTTTCCTCCCACCCAACCTCAAATTCAGTATTTTAACAACCTGTATAGAGCGCAGAGTTCGGATATGGATGAAAATGTATGCTCATATTTTAACTTTCTCCCTGCATGCATCATGCCTGCTAATCCTTAGAACTAATGTCTTGTGAGTGCAAGAAATGTCATTTAAAAATTCAAAAAAATTATTAATGGTGATTAACTTACCAGAGATCTCTTGCACTCAAAAAATGTTGTGCGTAAAGCATAGCATTCATTAGGAACAGATGCATCAAATGATTTCAGACATTCACGTGGAGTTTTCTTCTGCTGTAAATAGATTATATACATTGACATTATCTAATACAGGGGAAAATTTAATATGTATAGCTGCAATAGTTCTTAGTCAGTGTTACTAAATAGAAAGCTAAATATACATTGAAAAAGACCACCATTTACATTTTATACAGAAAACAAAAGCTGCATATTGTTCTAAGTTCAATTACCACACAATATTTCAGGACCTGAGAATGGCTGAAAATGTATTGTAAAACAGCAGTTCAGTGCCATTAAGTACACATAAATAAGCACGTCTCAAAGTGGCAGAATAAATTTAAAAATGGCATGAAAAGTGTTGGAAGATTGCAACACAAAAATGTAAACTGTGTTGTAACTTTAGAGAATACCATAAAGGTGCAAGAACTCACACAACAAAATCATCACTGAAAAGGTGACAAAAGTGATAAATAACAGAAACAGTTCATATACCACTATACACTTTTTGCTCAGTGGTGTGACATACAAGAACTACAACATTTGTGAAACAGTGCATGTTTTACACTTTTGAAACAAAACTAGGCGCAAGGAGAAGCCTCCTTAAATTTGTCCACCCACCTACACCTTGGTCTTCCCAGTGGTCTCNCAACAGTTCATATACCACTATACACTTTTTGCTCAGTGGTGTGAAATACAAGAACTACAACATTTGTGAAACAGTGCATGTTTTGCACTTTTAAACAATACTAGGTGCAAGGAGAAGCCTTCTTAAATTTGTCCACCCACCTACACCTTGGTCTTCCCAGTGGTCTCTTTCCTTCTGGCTTTCCCACCAATATCCTATATACATTCCTTGTGCTATATGCCCTGCCCACCTCATCCTCTTTAACCTGATCATTCTAATTATACTTGGAGAAGAGTACAAGTTATGAAGCTCCTCATTACGCAGTTTTCTCCAACCTCCTGTCGCTTCATCCCTCGTTGGTCCAAATATTCTCGAACACCCTCAGTCTATGTTCCTCGCTTAATGTTAGATACCCAAGTTTCACACCCATACAGAATTATAGTTTTGTATATTCTAATTTTTATGTTTTTGGACAGCGGATGAGAAGACAAAAGGTTCTGGACTGAATGGTAGCAAGCATTACCCGAGTTCAATCTCCTCAACCTATCTTCCAAGAAATAAAAAGTAATTTACCTTTTTCACACAGTCACTTTCCAGAAGACACATTTTTAAATCTGCCCTTATACCTGCACATGGGTTCTGATCCACCAGGTGGGCATTTTCACCTTCATATTGCATCATTTTGAAGAAAGTTCTGTAAATAAACTTAACATTTGATAACATCAAAATTCAATTTATTTATGTGGTTAACTTATCTTAGAAGACTTGATAGTGATGGACCACATATACAGAGTCCCTGCTTTATTCTGCAAGAGTATGTTGAAATTTGTAGTTGAAACCAGTATTGCAGGAGGTTTCAAAGTGTGTCTTCAGTGAACATTCTGATCCACAACCTCTCTGTTCTAGAACACTTGGTGAAATGGCAGGATAAAATTATGAACTGGGTAGGATCTGGAGGAACACTCATAATCCTAATTTCACTTAAATCCCAATTCACCTTTCTGCTGGCAAACTGTGAAGAACTATAAAAAATCTCAAATTATATACTAGTATGAATATTACATAAACAAGAAAAGTTTGATTTGTTTCATTCTGGTCCGTCACACTAACAATTACAAAGACAAAACAACTTCGTCCAGTGTGACTATTGAAGATTTTACTACTTCAAAACTTAAAAGTTTCTTAAAATTATTCAGCACTCTCTAACAAAAGTTTTTCATGGCATTAGTAGAGACTCAAATCATAAATAAGAAAATGCAGTTATCTCAAAAGTTCAAACAATATGGAAAATGTCAATACAATAACCACTAAATCTAGCATTATATCTGACTGCAAACATAATTTGATTCTTGACAATGGCATATGTCCTGAATCTTTGGGGCACGCAGTAGCATAGTTGGTTGAGGCACTATGCTACAAGCCACAAGGTCGCGCGTTCTATTTCCAATGAGGTCATTGAATTTTCCAACTTCCCTAATCCTTCCAGCTGCACTATGGTCCTGGGTTTGGTTAAGGCTCTAACAGAAATGAGTAACAGGAATCTTCCTGTGGCAGTAAAGGGCAGCCAGCACATAAGGCTAAAAACCTCACTGTCATTTGTGAGCTGACTGTCTAGAAAATGTGGGAGCCTCAATATCTCTCAACCCCATGGGTCTCTATGGCCTCTTACAGGGACAGCGTAACCCAGCTTCTACCCCCCATCCCCAATTTGTTACAATCACTTGAAGCAAAAGAGGCTGATTTAAGTTCATTGGCTCTGTAGTTCATATAACAGAAATTACAGATCTTTCACATTGCTGGATTTAAGGTACTCATGATAGCAACTATGAAGAGTATGATCTTGAATGAAATGCCAGGTAGTTCAATAGCTGTTCACTGATGTTTCAGAGGAACCTAACACCTCAGTTTCCAGATCAAAATGTAGGCCAAGTAAGAAACCAACAAATAGCAGGTAGCAGTTTATTGCAGGTTTCTCACTTAGCTTCCTATTTGACCCTGAAAAGTGAGGTCATATGCTTCTCTGTTTCTACCAAGCTACATTGGAATACAACCCAGAAAATCATACTCACAGTCACCACCGTGAGATTCCCTGATTCAACATAATATATTATGATACCTGATATACATAATGATGTATGTGTGGGATTATCTCTTGTTCCATTGCTTCATTTCTCTCTCAGTAAATCAAATATGGTGATGTGAGAAACATAAAACATGTTTGTTAACTCTCCAGATAAACATTAAAATTCTTAATGAATTTGGGGTTATCATAGCAATGACTATGAAGGGTTGTCTTCTGGAGTACAAGCTTGCTGCCTGCTTCATGCTGGTTTCTTGTTTGGCTTACTCTTCAACCCTGAAGATGGAGGCAATATATTCTTCCAGAACTTTGACTTTCTCCAAACTAGTGTCATATTCCAGAAAACAGAACTTTTCATTAACAGTTCTTTGTATGCAAAATATGTAATTTGGTGTTAATTATGATACAAAGACTGAGTCGATACATAGCTCAGATAGAGAAAGCATGCAATACATGTTGAATTATGGTAGGAGATGCAATAAAAGCTACTTGATATACTAAAAACGTGGAATAACATTAGAACAGATTTGGGGGAAAAGATTTGCCAAGAAGTAAACTCAAGCGTAGTGGCTCAGGATAATAACCAATGTTGGACTTTAGCTATCTTCGGATTGTACTGTCAGGTTAGGTAGTTCCCTTAACCCATCTCCTGAAGGTGTCACGTACCTTAAAAGCGCAAATCCGTGATCACTGATTCTAATAAAACAACTATTTGTTTACATCTACAATAACCCGTCTCCTGAAGAAATGTGTCACGTACCTTAGAATCGCAAATCCGTGAGCGCTATTTTAATACAACTATTTGTTTACATCTACAATACGTTCGCTTCGTCAACCTGCCAATTAGTCCAATATATATTAGCGATTTAGAGGTTACTCAACTCTTTTCATACAGTATATATTGATTTGTAACTAGATTCATTGCGTATTATGACAGTGGAAATAAAGAATATAGCGTAATTGATGTCTCATATCCTGAATAGATTGAATTAAGAATTGTTAAAGCCATCAGCACTAGTTGGCTCACCTGTTAGTCGGCCATTGTAAAATCATGGCGGAACTTCGAATTTGTGGAGGGATTATGAGTTATGTTCAGTTTTAGGTTATGTTTATAACACATGACGACGACAACTGTTTGTCAGTATTGTTTTTGTAATGAAGTTGTCTTGACTGATATACTGAAAAAAACGAATATTTGTTTCAATATTTTGGCACAGAAACGAGAAGAATATTTTTAACCTAGGAACTTCATTAGCAACGATATAAAATACTCAAGTTTAACCTTTATATCTGCGAAAAACAGTTTTTTGGTGATATTTATAATAATTTCATTATGAGCTTATTGAAAAGGCGACGTGTATTTTCCGTTTGGTTAAGAAAGCAGCGTGCAGCATCAACATGCAAGACGTTGTCAAAGCAAAATAAATGGGCCCTTCCTAGTGGATATGAGACAAACATATCGGTTTTCAACTGTATAACTAACTCAAATGTGCCATTAATATTGAAAAATCCTAACCTCGTGGCATGGTATATGTGTGGCCCCACCGTGTATGATTCAGCACACCTTGGTCATGCTTGGTATGTACCAGCAAGTGTAATGAAGGGATTATTTACAGGAACAAACTATTAAAATATAACTGCAGGCTGTACCAGTGTAATAAATTCAACATAAACCAGTCTGTGCTGCCAGTTTGTTGACTGATACAGATAAGTTTTGAAATGATAAAATATAAGTAAGGCATAGCAGGATGTTTGATTGCATTTAAAACTGAAGATTGCTGTCTTCTGGTATCTAACACCATGTAGTGTGGTAGATATTTACTAACTTTTGTGGGGGAACATCAGTGAACATCTGCCAAACTACATTTCATCACAATTCATAAGATACTAATATTCTTGAGAACCTCAAATCTTTCATTCAAGTTCTTCATTACCAGCCAAAAGAATGATGTTTTTGGGAAGCCCCTAACAAACCCTGGCACAAGACAATAACATGACACTGGAACTAAAGTTGGAAGTCTGAATATGATTAATGTTTAGGAAATGTGTTACTTCACTGAATTCATTCTAAGCAAGAATCCATAAAACTATCATTTTATGTTGGAAAAGGTTAGCAAGAAGTAATGTGCATAGTTTTTTTTTTTTTTTT